TGGAAGGTTCATATATGCTTCTCTCACCTGTTTTTGTGCACTCCGCCAGGGAGCTTGTCAGGCCAGGACCTCTGGGGGCTACTCAGGGGTCATTCCAGGAGTTGGGAGAGGTCCCGTCCCTTCAGCGGCATCCAAGGGCCTCCCAACCCGCCTGGCACAGCCGTGGCGCTTAAGCACCCGCGCTGCGTCCCAGACGCGCTGACACACTTGCACCGCCGGGAGGTTAAACGTCACCAACCCCTGAACCCCCTAGCTCTCTCCACGGTCCCTACTCTGGCAAAAGCCGCTCCCTTTGCTCTTACTTATGCCCTCCACTTCGTTGTAATGAAATGAGGGAAGAAAGGTGGAGGATGGGCGGGACAGACAGACAGGCAGTACAAAACAAGAAAAGTTCATCTCGCTTCTGCTCGCAGGCGGGACGCGAGCAGGCCGCAGCGCTTCCGCTGCGCGGGCGAGAGATTTAATTGAGTGGCCTCGGCGACGGCATCCTGGACATACAAGCGGGCCGTGCGCGCCGAGGCCCATCTGCCTCGGAGCAGCGTCTGCTCCATGGAGCCATGGCTGCGGAAGTCGGCGGAGGCGCCGCCCCTCCGCCAGCTGTAGAGGGTGAGCTTAGCATCCTGCAGTTCCAGCAGCTCACGCACTCGGCTGAAAGTGTTCATGAAACTGTTTGGCTCCATTCCGAGGCACAAGTCCTGTCCGTGCGCCTGAGCCTTTGCTCTAGCAAGGAGGGCGACCGCTACACCACTCCGCACGAGCACGAACTCTCGGGCACCAGTCTGATGCTGGCTCTTGGCGTTGCGCAGCTGCAGCACGGCCATTCGTCGGAGTGGGTACAGCTGTACATCGGACCACACGAGCGAGGTCATCTCACCCGTCCGGAGGAAAGCATCGTAGCCCGCAGCCAGCACCGCCGCAGCACCGAGCTGGCCTACGGCTGCAAATGCACCAGCGAATGCTGCCGCGATCAGCGGACCAATCGGCAGCGCCCGCCCAGCTGGCTCCAGTCGTTGCCACGTCTTGGCCAAGCGCCAGCTGTCCCGCAGGTGCCCTCGCACGGGCGGGAAAGCGTGCGTGATGCCAGCAATAGCATTATTAACTTCGAACAAAGATCCTCCGCTCAGCCAGCGGCTCTCAATGAAGGCGGCCACGCCAGCGTCGACCTGAGCGGGCGTCTGCGGCTGCCGGTGCTCCTGGATCCAGAAATCAACGACTTCATCGACTGCCGCACGGTACCGCTGCAGGGTGAGTGGCGTGACCATCGCCTCCCTCAGCGGTTGGGATCTCGCTGCAGCTCGTCGCGCCATCGCCTGAGCTGTGACCCGGCTCACCTTTGCCGCTGCTTGTGCTGCACGCTTGCTGGGGGCGGCCCTCCTGGCCCTTGCCGGCGGCCGCGCTGGGAGCGAGGCAGCGGCGGCCGAAGCTCCAGCGGGACGGCGTGTCGGCGGGCATGTCGTCGGTGTCGCAGTAGCCGTGCAGCGGGTACCCTGCCGTCGCGAGGAGGAGGGCGTTGAGACGGCGGAGCGCGGGCTGCAAAGCCCTCGCGCTCGATCTGCCCTTGGTGCTGACTGCCGCGATCGCTTGGGCATCCAGTATGTGCAGGTAGCGGCAGCGGTGGTTCTCAACCGCTCGGCACCTCCAGCGCGCTCCAGCCACTGCAGCCTCCAGCTCCAGCGCCGAGATGTGCCCGGGCCGCTGCCAGCGAAACCCTTTGGCGATCCGCCAGGCCCAGAGGTGCGTACGGAGAGCTGCCCGCGGCCACGCGCGGGCTCGGTAGGGTGCCCCGGTGTCAAGCCGGACGTCCGTGCCCCCGCGGTCCGCGACCCTCAGGAACTCCACGATCAGGCTGCGTTCCAACCGCGGGTCGCGATGTCCCGGCTGCTGGAAGTCGGGAACCACGTTCCAGTTCGCCTCGCACGTGCCCACAGCGAGGCAGCTGCTGCCCGGGATGGCGGCCGCTAGTGCCCCCACCTGAGCGAGCCACGAGCCGAGAAGATACATGACAGCCTGGACGCAGAACGTATTCCCGATCAGAGACTCAATGACGCTGTCACGGTCGGCGGCAGGTGCACTATCTTTTACAGCGGCCTGGAAATAGAGACGGTCGAACCCCATCAGGGCAGCACGCTCCTCAGGCACGGGCAGCCGGCCCCGCTCACGCCTTGCATCCCAGATGAGGCTGCCGCCCTCGTAGTTGTTGACCTGGTAACGGTAGCTGTCGGCAGCCCAGCGCTCTGCAGCCCTCACCGAGGCGCGGTCGAGGCCCACGGGCCGAAACGGCGGGTGACTCCGCGGGATCGGCCTCGTGAAACAAGGGAGGTCTGCCTCAGGGTCCAGCGTCGACCAGCCCTCCAGGAGCGAGGCACTCAGTGGGAGCCTCTCCACCGCAAGCGAGACCTTGAAGTACGTGGCTTCACCCACACCCTTGGTCTCGACGGTGGCGTCGGACGCCAAGAACGCCGTAACGGGCCACGAGCACCAGTACAGGCGGGGCCGCCTGACGTGAGTGAGACACCTGGCATCGAGGAACACGGGTGTGACGCCAAGCGCCCTGGTGAACTCCGCCCTCGACTCTAAGGTCATGCTGAACACGTTCTCGACGAACCACATGGTGCGCTTGGGAAAGGCAGCCTCTGCTGCCTGGATCAGCTCGGGGACCCGGAAGAAGAGCCTCGACCTCGACCCCTCCAGGCCGGTCCCCACGACATTGATGCTCGCCAGGTCTTGGCACGGGCTCCCCGCGGTCAGGACGACCCAGTCGGCGTCCCGCGCGTAGCCCTTCAGCATCTCAGTAAACCGCGCCGTGTCGACGGCCACGATGTTGCCAAGCTCGATCACGCCCGCCCAGCGGCGACGCACCAGTCGCCGGGCGGCGGGCTCGACCTCGCAGCTGACATGGGCCATCACGTCGATCGGAAGTCTGGAGGCCGCCACCGCGGCCCCCGCGGCGCCAGCGAAGAGCTCGATGAGAACTATGCGAGGGCGCCACCGCACACCCCGCACAGGGGCCGCAACTGCACCAGGCCGCAACGTCACCGCCGAAGCTCCCCCTCTCGCGCACGCAACGCCCTGCGCCGAGAGCCCGGCCGTGTGGCAGATGCCCCCGGCGCGCTGGCTGGCATCGGTCGCTATGACACAAGTGTCGATCTTCGCGCGCAGGTCAGTGTAGGCCAGCGGCAGCGCCATCGCGAAGCCCAAGAGCTCGTCGCACATGCCAAGGGGAACAGTCTGCGGACGTGTCCAGCGTCCAGCAGCCCACACGCTGTTGAGGAATCCCATGAAAGGCCTCCTGAACTCCGCTGCCCTGGCGCACCTGCCTAGGATCATGAGCATGCCCTGTGACGAGAGGCCCTGCCTGCCCATGCCCCACAGGATGAACGCCAGCAGCTGGTGCAGCTTCTCGGTCGTGACTCCGACCCGGCCGACGGCCCCGTCAAGACCCGCGCCCATCCGCTCCAGGACCAGCGCGCGGTGCTTGGCCTTGCCGGGGGCGACGCTGATCCCCGAGCGGCCGTAGGCGGCCCTCTGCTCCTCCTGCGCGCAGCTCATCGTGCCGAGGAGCTCCGCGACCATCGCGTTGGGCACCACCTCGCCATGGTCCCAGTCGTCGATGTAGTACTGGATCCACTGCTGCTCGAGCTCCTTCGACTTGAACGGAAGCGGCCGGTCCTTGCGCCACTCGAGCTCTGCGGGAAACCCCGCAGCGAGGGGGCGAGAGCCGAACCCGAGGCGCCTGTGGCAGTGCTGAAACACCGTGACCGCGTTGATCCAGCCCATCGGGATGACGCGCAGCGCGAGGTGAGTCTTCCCAGGACCCGGCACACCGATGAGCTCGTTCGGGATCGCCTCCGCGAGGGTCATGTATGGCTGCCAGGCCTCGGGCAGCTCGTAGCAGTAGAAAGCGGAGGCTTGGTCATCCGAGGACCAGAGCAGCATGTGGCCCTCTGGGAGCGGGATGGCGACCCACGAGGGCGACGCGCTAAGGGTCCCGATGTCATCCCTCATGATGCGCTGGTAGCTGTTGGCCGGGACCATGTTGATGATTAACCGCTGGACGCACGCCTGCCCAGGTGACGGCGTGCCTCCCTTGGCGACCCCGAACGCCCCCGCAAGCACCTTGCGGTTCCCGACCTTGAAGATGCGGTCGTCGGCGATCGGCGCCGCCAGCCCCAGCTCGACGAGCTTGGTCCCGATGCGGTACCACTCCTGCTTGGACGTGACCTGGATCGCTGCCCGCGGGACCTCTGCAGGCCACTCATCTCGTGGGAGCAAAGCCAGCGTGGGGTCGGCAAGCCAGGCGCCCACCTGAGCGTCCGCGATGTCGACCGCCTTGACCGAGGCGGCAACCCCGCGCGCGGGGAGGCCTGGCATGATGCCCGCGAGCGAGAGCGGCAAGGCGCGGGCCGTCTCCTCGCCCCCGTAGGAGACGGTCCTCGACGAGATGACCCGGTCCCAGTCCGGGAGCTCGAAGGCTGTGGCGGCATCCTGAACGAAATACTCACAGGCCTCCTGCACAATGCCGAGCGCACTAACCTGGCTAGCCGTGGGCCGCCTCGCGGCGACGGTGGGACTGCGCATGTGCCCCGTGTACTGGTAGTTCAGGCTGAAGACCACGAGCTGGGCCCACCCCTGCGCCGTGGCGGCGTCCACCTCGCAGGTCTCCGGCAGCTGCTGGTGCAGGTACCAGGCGGCGCGGTACCTCTCGAAGAGTGGGGCGTCGGGCAGTGGTAACGGCAACACCTCGCGCAGCCGCGCGAAGCTGGCCGTGGGGTCTGGCGAAGTGCACATCTTACGAACGTACCGCCCGATCGCCCCTGGTGAGCCGTGCACCGCCTCGTGGACTGCGAGGGCCAGCCTGAACTTGGAGCTGACGCCCGTGCCCACCTCGGCTAGCATCTGGCGCCACCGCCGAGCCTGCGAACTGCCGCGTAGCTGCCGCTCAGGCGGGCGGAGGGCAGGCGGGGGCGTGCTGTGGGCCGCGGCCTTAGCCGTGTCGGTCCTCACGCTCGAACCCAGGCCGTCCTGCGAGCAGTGCCCGTGCCGCGGCTCTTCCCCGTCTTGCCTTTGCCGCGGCTCTTGGCAGCCAGCGGCCTCCCGATGCGCGCCTTCCACGCTGCCTGGGTCTCGCCCTCGCGCCTCGGGTGGGCCGCCTTGTGCTGCGAGAAGCTCCGGCTCGCCGCCGCCTCCGCTGGTGGCACGCGGGCGGCGGCTGCTGCGTCGAGGTCCCCCTCCGAGTCGCTCAGGAGCTGGACTGACCGCGTGGGACTGCGGCTGGTCCTCCGCGCCGCTGGCGGCTTCTTCTCGGCGGGGGGAGCTGCGGGACCGTCGCCTGGAACGCGTCCGGCAAGGATCCTCATCGCCTCGGCCGATCCCGAGACTGGCGTCCCGGTAGCAGGGGGCGGGGGGCGCACCTCCGCGCGCCCATGGCCTGCAGGTGCCGTCCCCCCCTGCAACGGAGACGGCTCCCGGCCAGACCCCTAGCCCGGCCTGCGGTCTGCAAGCCGCTGGCGGAGTTCGGCGACCTTCAGCTCCCGGGCCTCGACCTTCTCGGCGGCGTTCTCCTCGTCCAGAGAGGCGCCTGATGGAAGCTGTTCCTGTGCGACCAGCGTGAGCCACCGTGCTGACCGCCAGTTCCCGTCGCGGATGGCCATCGTCCGCGCCTTGAACTCCTGCATGAGCAGATCCGCAGTCTCGACGACCTCTCCGCGCAGGATGCCGTCGAGCGCCAGCCCCAGCGTGCGGAGGACCCGCACCTCGTCTGTCCCCAGCGTGCGCGGCGGGTGAGCAACGAAGAACACCGTGTTCAGGAACTGCGTGACGCATGGGGCCAGAGGGTCGGCTTCGCCCGCGGACAGCTGCTGGGTGAACTGGCTGCGCAGGTGGCCGAGCCCATTCTCGAGGAGAGCACCAGGCCGCTGCCGAGCGATCCTGCGGAACAAGTCGCGCTTGATGTTCACGCCCTGGTAGCGATCGCGGCCCCCGAGGCGCTCCGTGTCGCTCTCCGCGCCGTCCTCCGCGTCGTCGTCGTCGCGCCCCAGGAGCGCAGCGGTCAACGCTGACGCCAGCCTGCTCTTCGATCCCGAGGCGCTGGCGCGCGCAGGGGCAGCAGCGGCGGCTCGGCCAGCTACCACCTGCGCCAGGCGCTCGCCCACGGCCCCTGCTGGGCGCGCGGCATTCTTGGGCGTGCCCTGCCTCGGCCCACCACGAGCTGCCTTGCCCCCGAGCCGCGCCAGCCGCGCCTCGAGCTCGGGGTCCTCGGCGGTCTCCTCGAGCCCAGCAAGCTCCTGGTCGAGCGGGCTCGTATCTCCTGGTCCGCCAGGGGTCTGGGTGCCCTCCACCTCGCGGGCTCGCTTGCGCGGTGGCCCGCGAGGCTCCTCCTCGTCCTCGTTGGCCCCGTCCCCGAGCGGCCATCCGCCGAGCTCTCCAGGCATCGGTTCGGCCGAGGGCGCGTCGGCCAGCACAGGCGCTCCAGGGTCCGCGGCCGGGCAGATGAGCTTCGCCTGCTCGCGGGCCACATCGCGGGGGTCCACCACCTGCCACACGTCCAAGTGCTCGACTACTGCGCCCACTGGGGCGACCGCCCCGCACTCGGCGGCGCTGCACTTGCAGAGGTGGAAGACCGTGGCCAGGGGGCGCGCGCCCTGCCGCCCGGAGGAGGCTGCATACCATGAGAAGTACGGGTCGCTGGCGCCCACGTGCCGCCCCTTGAAGAAACGGCCGAAGGCGTCCGCTTGGTAGGCGACCTCCACTTCGAGCATCTCGACGCCCTGCGGCGCCCCGTCGTCGTCCTTGACGCGCGCCAGGACCCGTGCACCAGCCCACAGCGGCAGCCCCGGCACCAGGTCGCCGTTCAGCGCCGCGTCGAGCCAGGCCCCTCTCGGGAAGGGCCACCCGGCGGCACCCGGGGCTGCCCGCTCCATCGGGCTCCTCGCCAGCAGCGGCGCGGGAGAGGGGCGACCCGCGCCCGGGATCCTCGTCTCCCAGCCAGGTCTTCGCTCCCCTCAGCCCGCAAAGTCTGCCAGCGAGGCTGATCAGAATCAGTCGTCCAGCGTGGCCTGCACGCGGCCGCGCTCGGCGCGGCGAACTTTCAGTAGACAGAGTGGCTCGGCAGCGGCCACAGACGGGCGGCACCGCCCGGTGACTCCGCTGCCTGTCTCGAGCCAACACAGCTACGGCAGATGGATGAAACTCAACCGTTATCCATCAACGGCGTCGCGCACGCTCAGGTGGACTCCGCATAGGTTTCCTTGGAAGGTTCATATATATAAAAAATGGAGGGAAAGGCATGGTTTTGGCCTCTTCGGACTGTCGCTGGAGCCCTCGGATTCCGAAAATTCGGGCGACTCGGCGCGTCCGTGTGCCGGAAGACAAGATTCAACGCCTGGGCAGCATGTTCAATCTTGTCCGCGCCAGGGCCGGGCCTCAGCGCTCGGCCCCTTAGGGGCGCAGGCAAAATTTAACACGGCACGTTCGCACGAAATCTCGTCCTCGGGCGAAGAGGGCGCGTTGAATTTCGTCCCTGGGCTTGCCGGAGGCGCCCGGGAGAGATTTCCCGGATTTTGATTGACAGGCCCTTTTCGCAAGCACGTATGCCGGCAATGTAGGTAAGATGACGTTAGGCTCCAGCTTCGCCTCCCGCATATCGCTCAGCAGCACCAGCGCCGGCTGCCATACCTCGCCCTTCTCGCACGCGCTGATCCCAGCGCTGTAGGTGACTAGGGCAGACCTGTGGACTCCGTCCACGACATCAGCTCGACGTGGCGAGGGGTCTCTGGGCAAGCGCGGGGGGGTGCGGCTGCAGGGCCGAAAGGCAATCATGATGGCGTCGGGCTCCTCCTCCTCCTCCTCCTCCTCCTCCTCCTCCTCCTCCTCCCACCTTCTTCTCCTCTTTCGCTGGATTCTCCATGCCCTCGGTCGGCAATCGTCGATCCTACGACGACTCTCCCCAACAGAGAAACATCGAAGGCCCTCGGAGCGTCCAACATTGTTCTTTTGTGCCTTCGATATGCCGGTCGCCTCTCGTCCGCTCCCCCGCTCCTGGAAGGAATTCTGAAGGCACTGAAGGCTTCGTAGGGGCCGTTTCGGAGCCTCTTCGGCCTTCGTTTGGGCCTCGCGGGGGGGCTCTTAGGGCTCTCTCGGGCCGTCTTGGGTGCCTCTTGGGCCGTCTTCGGGCCATCTGAGGCCCTCCTTGGCGCCTCTTCGGCTGTCGTGGGCCGTCTTGGGCCGCTCCTGGGGCCGTCTTGGGTGCCTCTTGGGCCGTCTTGGGCGCCTCCTGGGCCGTCCGGACGCCGTCCTGCGGCGTCTTGGGACCGTCTTGGGGCCCTCCTGGCCCGTCTTGGGGCTCTCTTGGGGTCCTCTTCGGCCGTCTTGGAGCGGTCGGGGGGGCGTCTTGGGCCGTCTTGGAGCGTCGGGAAGGCGACGAGGCGAGGAGGCCGAAAACATTGACAAACACAATAGAAATCGACGATTTCTGTCGCTCGGGGCCCTCTTGGGAGGCCTCTTGGGAGGCCTCTTCGGGCGTCTTGGACGCCTCGAGGGCCTCCTGGGGCGAATCTCGGACGTCTTGGGCGCTCTTGGGCTGTCTTGGGCCGTCTTGGGCCGCTCCTGGGGCCGTCTTGGGTGCCTCTTGGGCCGTCTTGGGCGCCTCCTGGGCCGTCCTGGGGCCGTCCTGCGGCGTCTTGGGACCGTCTGGGGGCCCTCCTGGCCCGTCTTGGGGCTCTCTTGGTATCCTCTTCGGCCGTCTTGGAGCGGTCGGGGGGGCGTCTTGGGCCGTCTTGGAGCGTCGGAAAGCCGACGAGGCGAGGAGGCCAAAAACATTGAAAAACACAATAGAAATCGACGATTTCTGTCGCTCGGGGCCCTCTTGGGAGGCCTCTTGGGAGGCCTCTTCGGGCGTCTTGGACGCCTCGAGGGCCTCCTGGGGCGAATCTCGGGCGTCTTGGGCGCTCTTGGGCTGTCTTGGGCCGTCTTGGGCCGCTCCTGGGGCCGTCTTGGGTGCCTCTTGGGCCGTCTTGGGCGCCTCCTGGGCCGTCCTGGGGCCGTCCTGCGGCGTCTTGGGACCGTCTGGGGGCCCTCCTGGCCCGTCTTGGGGCTCTCTTGGGGTCCTCTTCGGCCGTCTTGGAGCGGTCGGGGGGACTTCTTGGGCCGTCTTGGAGCGTCGGAAAGCCGAAGAGGCGAGGAGGCCGAAAACACCGAAAAACACAATAGAAATCGACGCTTTCTGTCGCTCGGGGCCCTCTTGGGAGGCCTCTTGGGAGGCCTCTTCGGGCGTTTTGGACGCCTCGAGGGCCGCCTGGGGCGACTCTCGGACGTCTTGGGCGCATCTTTAAGCGTGCCGGGGCTCTCCGGGGCCGTCTTGGGGAATTTTTGGGACCCTCTGGACGTGTCTTGGGGCCTCCCTGGGCGGCCCGGAGCCAGCCCGGGGCGGTTTTGGTTCATTGGAGCCTGCACCATTCTGGCACGCACTGGGCCCTGCAATGTAGTAGAGATGACGTCGGGCTCCAGCTTCGCCTCCCGCATCTCGCTCAGCAGCGCCAGCGCTCGCTGCCACTGCTCGCCCTTCTCGCACGCGCTGATCCAAACATTGTAGCCGACTAAAGCTGACCCGCGGCCTTCCGGCCGCGGAATCTCCCGGCCGCGGAATCTGCCCGCCATGGCGTGGACGTGGCAGTGGAGCGTCTCTGGGGCCTCGCGGATAAGGGGATGTTGGTGGGGACGGCGTGGATGGAGGAGGTGGCCGCTGGAGGTGGAGGTGGGCGAGGGATGCAGGCAAGCAGGCCTGAAGGCAGGAACGCGGTGGTGGAGGCGTTGTCAGTTGAAGCACACCCATGTAGGCATGACATGGTGTGGACAGGCGGCGAGACGGCCCAAAAGGTCTTCAGAACGGGCCAAGAGGCTTCCCAGACGGCCCCAGAAGGCCCCACGAACTCCCTCAGACGGGCCCCAGTATGAGGACACGAATCGATCTGTCGAGCGCACCGCCCCAACACGTTCCCAAATAGCGCAGAGATGGCTTCCAGAGGGTTCAAGAAGCCCCCAAAACGACGCTGGAAGTTCGACGCTCCCCAGAAGAGAAGCATCCAAGGCCTCTTGGGGGCCGTTTGGGGGCATATTTTCGTCCTCCTGAGAGTCTCTCGGGGCCCTTTTGGGCAATATTGAATTCCTCTTGGCTCTTGGGCCGACTTGGGGCCGGTTTGGGCGCCTCTCGGACCATCTTGGGGCTGTCTTAGGGCCATCTTGGGCCAATATTGGGCGCTCTTGGGGCTGTCTTTGGTGTTTCTGAGGCCGTCTCGGGCGCCTCTGGAGCCGTCCTGGACGGCCCAGAGACCGTCTTGGAGACTGTGCAGACGGAAAGGCTTGGAGACGGGGCGGTGGGGGCCTCCACAGCCGTCTTAGAGACGGGGCGGTGAGGCCGTCTTGGGCCATTATGAACTGCTCTTGGAGCTGTCTTGGGTGCGTCTTGGGACGTCTCGGGCGCCTCTGGAGCCGTCTGGGGGCCGCGTGGGGCAGTTCGGGGGCCCTCCTGAGGGCCTGCGGGCGCGTCTTGGGGCGAGCTGGGGGGCCTGTATAGCCGTCTTCGACGCAGCGAAGACGACAAAAACGGAACATTGTGAAAACGCGCGTTTCCCGTCGGGGATGGAACGATTATGGCTCTCCTGGAGGCCCTCCTGGGCCGTCTTGGGAGACTCCTGGCCTGCCTTGGGGACCTCTGGGGCTGTCTTGGCGCTCCCAAGGGTGCTCCAAAGCCGTCTTGGCGCCCCCTGGAGCCTCTCGGAGCCGTCCCGTGGGCCATTGTTGGCTGATCTTGGGGCTGTCTTAGATGCGTTTTGGGCCTTCTCGGGCGCCTCTGGAGCCGTCCCGGCGCCGTATGGGGCTGCTTGGGGGCCCTCCTGGGGGCCTCTGGGCGCGTCTCGGGGCGAGCTGGGGGGCCTATGGGGCCTGCGTAGCCGTCTTGGACGCTGCGAGGGCGTAAGAACGGAACATAATTACACTACCGAGGAACCCCGCATACTTGTTTTATGTCACGTGCGTTAACAAAACAAGTCACATCTCGCTTTGCCATCCTGACGAGAGACTGACCAGACCAGCCAGATCAGCCAGACCAGCCAGACTGACCAGACCAGCCAGATCATTCGTTCCAGCCATAACCAGCAAAATTAAGCAGACCAGCCAGCCAGGCCAATCAAGCAGACCAGCCAGACCAACCATATTAGTCATGCCAACAACCGCAGCCAGAATCAGCCGGACGAACCACACGAGCCAACCAAGCCAACCAAGCACACCAACCAGACCAGACCAACAAGAACAGACCAACCAGACCGACGCAGGGTTCTGCAGGTACGCCACCAAGGACTGCCTCTTGCCGTCGTCGTTCATCTCCGAGTACCTCGCGTAGAGCGTATCGGGCTACCAATACCGATGGCGGCGGTACGCATTGAATGCGGAGAGCACCACTCCACTTGCGCATCGGCGCGAGCTCTCCACACTGGCCTCGCCGCCCGTCAGAACCATGGCGTTTTTCATTGTCAGACACGGAGGCGGCAGAGCGTCCATGGCAAGTTTGGGCGGCATGATTGCCGCGCGCAGGAAGGGCGGTGCTCTGAAGTAGGAGTACAGGAGCGCGCCTGCGTGAGAGCGCAGGCGCGCCGAGCCGGCTGGAGCCAAGGTGTTTACACTTCTTGACCAGATACGAGCTCCCACCCCTAGCGCACCCACTCTGGTGTCGAGGAAGTGCCACGCCTGCCACGCTTTGCGAGCCCGAAACGCATAGGGCCCCCACCCCCAGCGCACCCCCTCTGGTGTCGAGGAAGTGCCACGCCTGCCACGCCTTGCGAGCCCGAAACGCATAGGGCCCCCACCCCCAGCGCACCGCCTTCTGGTGTCGAGGAAAAACCACGCCTGCCACGCTTGGCGAGCCCGA